GGGGGCCCTCCTGCCCGGGACCTCGCGGAGGCGCGCCGGGCAGCCCCGGGGGCCCGCGCGCCGGGCCGCCGCGGGGGGCAGCCCCACCCAGGAAGTCCCGGGAGGGGCGAGAAACCACACGCAGACACCGTTCACCGTCGATCCCCCAGGAGAACTTGTGGGACACTGGGAGACAGTCCCCCCCCCTGGGGGATAACAGTTCTGTTATCCCCCAGGGGGGGGGAAACAGAAGCCCAGGAGACCTGGGAGGGTGTGGGGGGCTCCAGTTCTCTGTGTCTGTGCGTCCGCGCGTCCCGGGGCCCCTCCAGGAGTGGACGCCCCCGGGGGCGACCCCCCTGGGCGGCGCGGCGTGCCGGCGCCCGACGACGTCGGCGCGGGCGAGAGCTGGCCCCGAGGGGGGGGCAGCACTGCAGACCCCATCGTCAGGAGGGAAAAGACACACAGACACAAGTAATCGTCGATCCCCAGGAAAATGGGAAAATATGGGAAGTGGGGGGGGGAGACAAAAACCAAGGAAATATTTGAAAATATAGGGAATCCTGTTATTTGTGTGTATTTATTTGCGTGTCCCAGGGCCCCTTCACCATCGTCAGCACGGGCCCGCCTCGCGTTCCCTCGCCTCGCCGGCGCCTCCCAGAGGGGGGTGATGACTAGGGGGGGGTGGACATCATGGCGGGGGCCATGATGTTTCCCCAGATTTCATGGCGCCTCCTCTTGTTATGACGTCCCCGCCCCCCCCCTCGGCCGCGCACGTGCCGCCGGCCATGATTTGCACCCCCCCTCTTGGACGCCCCCCTCGTGGCCGCTCCCGACCCTCCCCCGGCCCCCCACGGCGCACGAGCTGGAGGCGGCGTCCCCAGGGGAGCAGCGAGGGGCATAAAGCGTGACAACTCGGAGGCCCGCGCGGAGTTCTCGGGTCCGCGCTGGACCCCCCGAAATCCGCGCGGACCTCCGAGTGTTCCACGGCGCACGAGCTGGAGGCGGCGTCCCCAGGGGAGCAGCGAGGGGCATAAAGCGTGACAACTCGGAGGCCCGCGCGGAGTTCTCGGGTCCGCGCTGGACCCCCCGAAATCCGCGCGGACCTCCGAGTGTTCATGTTCGTTCCCCCATCTCCGACGCCTCCTACCCCCCCACGGCGCACGAGATGGAGGAGGTGCTCCCCAGATTGAAGACTCGGGTGCCGCGTCGTGTGAGCGACGCAGCCAGACGGGGTCGTGTGCGCCGACGCTGGCGCGCCAGCTTCCCGCGTAAGGTCGCGCGCTTGCGCCCTCGCCTCCGCTGCAGCGAGCCGCGCTGGCGGCCCGCGTACGCCGCGGCGTGAGGTCGCTGTGCCATCTCGCGCAGGGTCCTTGGCATCGCTCGGGCGTGTGCATTTTTTCCTTCGGCGAGGGCCATCGAGGAGCATCCTTGATCATTTGGCGAAAAAAACCACGCACGAAACAAAACAAAACACAGGAAATGGACGTCCGAGCGATGGCCAGGGTCCGTTTCTTCGATCGTCGCTCCCGCGGGTTTTCGCCTCGCAGGAGTCGGCCGTGCTGGGTCGCGCGGGCGGCACGCGCAGGCGTGCCGAGCAAGAAAAAGAGCAGGCCCCCGGCGGGCTGCGGGGCAGCAGTGCATTCGGTAGGTGGTGCTGTGCGGTGGTTCCCGCACCCTCCAGCTACAACCTGGGCGCCCGCGAGGCTGATCCTCGAAGAAGAACAGCACACAAAAGCACAAACGTTCGAAGCTCCGGGCGGATTTCTTGGATCTGCGCCTGATCGTCGACAGTTTTCTTGCATACGCGGCCCCGAGGGCATGGTCGGCTTGCTATTAGTATGATGCTTGAGGCTGTTGCGCGTTTGTGCATTCCACTTGCTTCCGTGACTGGGCCGCCGCATGTGCCATGATAGCTGGTTATGCTGGCGACGTGATGCTGTGATCAACACCGCTTGATTTGGCGTCGCATTGGACTGGGATTTGCACTCTCAGCCCCGCGTGAGTTGGCGTTGGCTCTCTTCAGCCAGCGTTTGGCCACCTTCGTGCCCCCTTCCTCTCCCACCTTGTCCGCCTCCGCCGCGTCCTTCACCTCCTTCCGCTCCAACTGCGCCGCCTCGTCCTCTGTTGGTGACGATCTAGAGCAAGACTTCCGCGTCACTAACCAGGCTGTCGGCGCCTGTTTGCCTGCCAGCCCCCGCGACAGGGCGCGTGGAGCAGCATCACGGAGCGGCTGGAACAGCTCGAGTCGCGCTTTGACCAGGAGCGTGGGGGTCGGGGGCGGAGGTCGGGGAGGCGGAGGAGGAGGGAGGAGGAGTGGGAGGAGAAGGAGGCGGATGAGGAGGAAGAGGAGGAGGAGCAGGAGGAGGAGGAGGAGGAGGAGGAGGAGGAGGAGGAGGAGGAGGAGGAAGCGGAGGAGGAGGAGGAGGAGGAGGAGGAGGCGGAGGAGGCGGAGAAAGAGGAGGAGGAGGAGGAGGAGGAGGAGGAGGAACAGGAGGAACAGGAGGAGGAAAATTATGAGGGGGAGGAGGATGAGCAGGATGAGGAGTAGGAGGATGATGATGAGGAGGAGGAGGAGGAGGGTCTTCGGGTTGGGTTGGGGTGGTCTGGTAGGTCGTCAAGAACGGGGGGGGGTCAGCGAGGGCTACAGAAAAGGGGGCTTCTAGGGTTCCTAAATAGGGCCCTTCAGGGCCTGATGTTGATCCTTCGGGGCCCGAGAAGAACACCTGTCTTCCCCCCTTCAGAACCAGCGATGAGATCGGGGTCGGTTCGGGGAGGGTACCCTAATGTTCTTCATGGGTGTCGGATGTTATTGTGCATCCTGGGGGAGGGTACCTTTGAATGTTCTTCAGTTTGGCCGGCGGAGGATCTCATGCTCTTGGAGGGATGCGCTTCTGTTTTTGGTCCGATCGTGTTCTCGAGTACACCAGCGTGCGGTAGCGGCTGGTATTCATCGATGAAGCGGCGCCGATTTGGCGTCGACTTAGCATCGACTTGGCGTCGGTCAGCTTCGACCCGCAAAAGCCAGCACGATGGGATGGGAGGCGCCCCTGGGTTGCCACAGAGCGATCCCGAACCCCGATCGTCGAACCTGGATCTCACGCGATCCGAGGTGGGAATTTATACACGACCAGCGCCTGGAGGATCAATTTTGGGGGATCTCGGCAGGCTCTGGATAGGGACATCTTCGGGCCCCCGGGGGCCAAGATACGCCCATATCCACCGCCCGCTGGGGCGCCAGGACGTCGCTTCCCAGGCGGCGGATCTGGATACGTCCCCGCCTCGCACGAGAGACGCCGTCGACGACGACGGCGTCCGCCCTCCCCGCAGGCCGCGGAGCTGCGGCCCGCGCTGGCCAAGCTGGAGCAGCTGCAGGGGTGCCTGGCGGAGCACTCGTCTTCGGTGCAGGCCCCGCGTGCCGCGCCCCCCCCCTCCTTTTTCTCCTCCTCTTCCTCCTACTCCTCCTCCTCCTCCTCCTCCTCCTCCTCCTCCTCCTCCTCCGTCTCCTCCTCCTCCCTCCTCCTCCTCCTTCTCCTCCTCCTCCTCCCTTCTCAGCTGCTGTCGCGGCTTGAAACACACACTCGTCGCAGCTACTGGAATTGCCAGGGCACTCCGTTCAGAGGCAGCGATGTTTCCTTTCCTCGTGCGGGGCCCGCGCTCTTCGTGAGAAAGGGTGTAGCCGCGCCCGTCCTCGCCGCAGGCTGCCCGCCAGTGCGACGTCGACAACTATCACTTCAGTTGAACAACATGGGCGACGGCACCCCCAGGACGCTGGGGCACATTCGTGCAGTTTCATACAACCCGATGCATCTGTGTGGACTACGCGGGGAAGAGGTTTCTTCAGAATTTGGAAATGTGGGGGCAATATTACTTCAGGGGACTGGTCGGCGGAAAGGAGCAGGCGAACCCCATCGAGTTTTTCGCCATTCGAGGCACTACGAAATATCATTTGGATTCTCGAGGTCATCGAGCAAAGCTTGTGGCACGAGTATCATGCTGCAGTCTTCCCCCAACGACTCATAAGACAGATTTTCGCCCCACCCGTGGATCTGGAAGGGCGCTGCGGCGCCGTGAGATTGAAGTCGGGAAATATGGACGTGCTGTTCGCTTCGCTTTACTACCCAGTCTATCCGAGTGTTCGCGCAGGTCGAGCGGAACAACGACGTATTGTTACACGAATGACGGCTTGGATCCGAAAGATATTGCAATCTATTGGAGGGAGGTGCACACCTATCCTTGGCATGGACCTGAACGACGGATTGGGCAACGCTCGGGACTACGCTGTCGAAGGCGACACGACTCCTGCCGAGGATGCGGACGTGGAGGACTGGACCTGCATCGGATCTTACGACAGGGACCCCGGAGGGGTCGCAGGTACGGCTCTTCGGCACCTGCTGGTGTACACTCACATGTGCGCGATTAACACCTTTTTATGCCGCTTGGCCCGACTTTCTTCTGGGGTGGGCTCGTCCACGTCTCGCATTGACTTTCTGGTGATTCCCCAGCAGCTTCGGCAGAACGTTCGGCGATGTGTTATTCTGCACGGGGCGGGCCGAAGATTGCAACCGATATCTACACTAGATGATCGCGAGCATCGACCCATTTTGATGGAATGCAAGTACGATTTCCAGGCGCAGCTCGGTGAGCGCAAGCCGGCTTGGGATTACGATCGGATCATGCGATGTTTGTCTGGTTGCTCGTCGTGTACGTCTTCGATCGAGGAGATACAAGAGCCGATCTGCGCTACTCCCGAGGAGTAGTGGGTCCGTTTGTGCTCAAGGGCGACAGTGGGCGAAGCGTGGAACTCGGTGATGAGTCTCATGGCCCCCGTGGCACAGGATATTTTTTTCGAAGAGGTCGCAGCAGGAGGTTGAATTATCACAACTGGAAAGGGAACGATTTTTTTTACATCGTGAACGGAAGCGGCTCAGAGGCAGGCGCACTGGTGCTTTCAGTACCGTGATCTGGGAGGTGTGTCTGAGGACTGTCTGGAGCAAATGAGGGAATTGGAACTGCTGTTGGCTCGAACTACCTTTCGCATGCGACATCTCTCTCTCTCGAAGTTGATAAATAGAGAAAGAGAAGCGTCACTCACGGCCGAGCTTAACGAGGCGTGGAACGTACACGACCGCTTCAATGTGCAGCGAATTATACGACGGCTGTCAACGAGAGGTGCGGGACCCCGACACAGAAAGTATTTTGTGCTGAAGCCCGAGAACAGCGAAGCCCAGGAGATTTCTGAGTTTCTGTGTCGCCCCGCTACGGCTGGTGGACTTGGGGCCTCTCGGTGCGACCTACAGGCTGAGCTGGTTGAGAGGTTCGACCGCCCGCGCGCCGACGGATGGGATGCTTCAGATGTCGCGCGCTATAACGCCATGCAGTTCGAGCACGTGGACGCGGCCAGGCAAGATTTGCGCGGGGTCATTCGACTGTTGCGAAAAGCTCCGAAGCGACGGGCTACACCGGCATGGTCGCTTCCATCTGAGCTCTGGCTAGTATTGTTGGACGAGGAAGGTTGGGACAACTATCGCGGCGGCGGTGTTGGTGGCGAGCTGCGCCCAGCCTCGGCTCAGGCCTTTAGCGAGCGTTTTCTGGATCTGCTTGCCTGCTTTCGCAGAGCGTCAGCAACGCCGCTTATCTCCGATGTGTCAGCCCGCTGTGGGCTGGACAAGCATAACGGGAAATCAGGTGCTGAAAGTCAGAGATGGATCCATCTTTTCTGCCTCCTGGGCAAGGCTTGGAACTCGCATTTGTGGGTCAGAGCTCGGCGGCACCGTGAACCTCCACCATATGTATGTCATGGTTTTGCAAGGAAGCGCAGGAGGGACAATGCAATCTTAACTCAATGCTGTACCTCGTGGAGGCTGCAAAGGCAAGGATATTATCACGTGATTGTTAACGAAGATGCGACTATTGCTTTTCCAAGTGTATCGAGGGATGATGCTGGATATTTGCCATCGCTTTATTTAGAGGAAGACGTCATGTTTCAACGTCAGAGGGTTATTCAGAGTGCGTGTCAGATTATTACCGCAGGTGAGACGATATGCTTGCGCCCGAGTGCGGGCGATCTCATGGGCCACCCGAGCGCCACACGAGGCTTTCCTTACTTCTATCAGAAAGGCCTCGAGCCTTCTTTTGAGATTCGTCAACGTACGACTTCGAGCTCTATGGCGTTGGCCACGGAGCCGAACGGGGTCTCGACGGACGTCGGTCTGTCCCTGTTTGCGGATGATATCACGAAGCATGTTACCCCTGGGCCAGGCCCACCACCACAACGTATGGGAGGTGAAGCACGTCACCTGCTGGCGCTCGCCCGCGTCAGCAGCGAGCACCTGCAGTGCGCGCTGAATCAGATCGGCGTTGCCCTGAACCCCGAAAAAAGAGTCTCCCTGGTCAATCTCGTAGGTCCTGGTTCTCTCGGGCAACGGCGTTTCGTCTTCAGTGGGGCCGTGTCCACCTCGGGCAAGGTCGGGGGATTTATGCGAGTTCTTGGGGGCTGGCTGACGACGAGCGGTCCCCCTCAGATCGAAAAATTGAAACGGATTCAAGCAGGGGGGGAAGGCTTAGGGAAGATCGCTTTGTTCTTGCGCCACGCGAAGCTGCTGAGCGGCAAGAGGATGGCCGTGATCGCGTTCGTCCAGTCGGCCCTTCTCTCGGGGATGGAGGCAAGGATTTCTGGCAAGAGTGTTTGTGCTGCAGCTGATCATGTTTTACAACAAGCGATGAGAAGGGGTCTGGGTACCTCGGGACTCGAGGACCATGGCGAAAAGGAGCTCCGCCGCTGGTCTGCGGCACGCATGTGGGCGCACTGGCGAATCCTACCGTGCGACAGAGAGCTCCGGGTGAGGAGGTTGAGGTGGTATCAGAGCTGGAGTAAGTTCCCCGAGGCCCATCGGCAGGCCAGAGTGAGTGTCTTTGGGCGTCTTGGCTCCGAGGAGGTGGTCACCGCATCTTGGACAATGGCCAGCGACGCCAACCCCTGGGCTCGGCAGGTACTTGCGGACCTCACGTTCGGTCTCGAGGGCTCGGAGGAGCTCCAGTATCTTATTCCTCCACGTTATCCGCTCCTCAAGCTTCTCTTCGATCAGGAGTTCGTCGAGTGGGCCGATATCGACTTCTCGATGCTGCGGGCCCAGGCCTTCTCGCACTCGCCCCCCCCTCCAGGCTTCGAGGCTCCGCTCGCGATGGACGACGACATTTCGGGCGATGTCGCGATCGCGGGGCCCTGCCTGTGCAATCTCACGACGGCCGAGGGCGGGATTTGCGGGGAACGATTCTCGTCCATGAAGCGTTTGTTGCTGCGTGCGGGTCGGGCCCACTCGGTTAGGAACGAGGCTAGCCTGTTGACCGTCACAAATCAATGCTTTCGTTGCTTGCAGGCCCTGGGCTCACGGGAGGACGCGCAGAGGCACGTGATGCGGTCTTATCAGTTCAATCGTTGCGCGGTGGGGCGGAGTGCTTATGCGCAGATTGAAATCATTATTCCACCGTCTTTGGCGTGCCCGATCTGCACTTACCTGGCTCAAGACTTGTGCTCTTTGCAACGGCGCATTCAAACGCACTGCTCTCTGCCGCCTCCCCAACTTGCACGGCGCAGACTGCGGCGCGGAGCTGGACCTCGGCGCGCTGCTTCAGGGGCACAAGGCAAAAGCGGGCGGTCCTGCAGACGGCGCACATCCAGACAAAAAGGGGCGGATCGCATCAATGGCAGACGACGCAGACGAAGATTTGGCAAAAGTGGAAGGGGCATTGAAGGCAAAAGATATTCAACAGGCCCTGAGCATACTCTTGAACATGGCTTGCCAACACGCACAGCAGCTGAGGGGCACGTCGGCCTCGGAGTGGACCTCGGTAGTCTCGCCAGCGGAGTGCAGCCCCGTAGTCGCGGCCAAACAAGCAGGCAAGCAGCGCGCCGAAGTCGCGGCGATCCAGGAGCTCAATGCGAAGGATGGCCCTCCTCATTTGCACATCGCGCGCGCCGTGTTCAAATCGTTGAAGGAGGACGAGCAGGCGAAGACACTCCTGGAGCCATTGCAGGTGCTGAGCGCCTTCTACGGCAAGTTTTTCTCGGTGGCATCGCAGGAGGAATTGGGATTGGCCATTCGTCATTTCAGGGTGCGCAAGTGTTACAACGAGAAGTTCCGCCGCATCCAGTTCAGCATAGCGGACGGTTTTCAGATACCGTTGGGAGAGGGCCAGCCTGGGGCGTCGAAGCTACTCATGGAGCAGGCTCTGGCCAAGGCGCTGGTTCACTTCGGAGGTCGACTCAAGCTGGGCACGGCACCAGTCGGTCACTTGGAGATGATGGCCCAGAAGCTGGTGGATCGGTCCAAACCCAAGGGAGGCAAGAGTCGTGGCAGTGCAGACTAGGAGCACTACGCGAGAGGATTCGTCAAAAGGAGTTGAGT